AGCCCGGCAGCATCGCTCGGTGCAGCCCCACGCCCACCCTCTGGAGAGGACAAAAGGACTCCCTTGGCCCAAACATCCCCTCCTCGCTTGGCCCACACCAGGGAGGATTCTGTGCATGGACAAGAGAAACCTGCCCGTAAGTGACAAAGAGCCTTGGGGTTTGTCCGGCTTCGGCTCAAACACAAAACTTTCTGCCAGCTCTCCCGGGGGCATGGCAGGTCAGGAAAGCTGTCCAGAGCGCCCTGGAAGCCAGCACAGGCGCCTCGCCATCAGGGAGACAGCCCAGGTTCCTCAGGCCCTCCCTGCTCCAGGAACAACACAACAGCCTGAGGTTTGTCTCACTTTTATTTACAGAATTGCACAGCCCGTTTCCCCGTGACACTGGGACATAGCGGGTCCGAGACACTGATCTCCCACATCCATGTCTCCTCTGGGAAGGAGGAGACTCCACGAGTCGCTCTTGGGTTTCGCAGGGGCACATGCAGCAACTCCAATTACTGGCGACTACGATAAAGACAAGGAGGCTGAGAGGGAAGCTGTGGCCGCACAGCAGCGCAGGGCCAGGGACTTCTGCCTTTCACAGTTGTGGATTTGGACCACCAGCGGGTTTCCCGACTGAAACACTGGCTCCATTAAGTCCTTACGAGGGGAAGGCGGTGCGGGAGCGCACATCCTTCATCATCTCCCACAACCAGACGCATCGCAAGACCAAGCTCCTGGGAGGCGGCCAAGGCTGGGAAGGTTAAACTAACCCTCAAATTTTTCTTCACTGGGAATGTCCTGGTGCCATGGGGTTTGTTGCAGAGGGGCTGAAGGAGGGGGTCCCCCGGACAAGGCACGGAGCAGCGGTGCAGGGCTCACTGCCAGGGATGCAGGGGGGGCAGCACCTGTGCAGGAGCTCTGCTGCATGAGCTGGTTTGCAGCAGGATGGTGCCGCTGCGCAGGGAGCAGGGCTGCAGCTGGGATGAAGAAGCTTCTCTACGCTACGAGCTTCCAGGAGCAGCGGTGGCAGAGTCATCCCCGCATGACAGGGGAAAAGGAAGGTGCCCATGGGTATGTGGCAGAAGGGAAGAGCCAGGCAGCGAGGCTGTGGCAGAAGAATTTACCCCATGATCAAATGAGACCCTGATGCTTAGAAGGGACCAGCTGGGGCCAGCCCGTAGCTGGGCAGAGAGGTTGCTGCAAGACGTGCTGGGCTATCACTGAGCTGCATGAGAACCCTGGGACAGGAGACAAGGAGGAGAGCAGACACAGAGCAGCCTCAGGGCTGGAGCAATCCTTCGGGGAGGGACAGGGCATGGCCCCTGCTGCTCATGCCACCAGTGACTTCCAGCCCCGGGTCAGGGAACACAAACGGAAAAGCATCCTGCTTTGCAGCTGGAGAGGAGAGGAATGGCACGTGCTGCTTTGAAATCAAGAAAGTACAGGTCTTATCTAGCAAGGCATTGGATTGATCCACTTGGGTTCAGCAAAGGAACGGAGGGACACAGTGTGTGACTGCCACCACCCTCTGCAAGGACATGGGCACCTGCCTCTTCCCTGCTGTCTACCCTCACCGTGGCGGGAGCAAGAGCCAAGGCTCACGCCAAGCAGCTGCACACACCTCTGGAGCATCAGCGGGGCAGCACCAGCGTCCTTACAGCCCGCTCCACGCACGGGGCTCAGGAAAGCACAGCACCAAGCACAGGCAGTGTCTGGCAGTCTGGGGAAGCCGCAGCGAGGCATGGACTGAAGCCAGAGTCAGGGGAACCCTTGGCAGACTGGGCATCCCAAGACAGAGGGGTTCGCTAGCTGGATGTGCTGGAAATGCAGGTGGAGGAAGGAGGAGGAGGAATGCCAGCGCTGCAGGACGAGGGACCCAGAGCCTCTTCTCTGGGAACCAGCAAAGTTGGGGTGTTTCACTAGAGGACCCATAACAGGCAGGCAGCACTTTCAGGGATGAACTCCTCCAACTGCTGCCGAGGAATGTGCAAATAAAGTGCACAGAGACAGCCGAGACCATCTGTGACCTGCAGAGCACGGCCTGTCCCCTAAGGGATGTCTGTAACCGATTCTACGAGAGGTCCAGCCTCAAGGTGGTGAAAAGGACATCAGCAAACAGAGACTCTAACTCTCACCTTTTGGGGTCAGGAAAGCTCCTTTCTGGATTTTTTAAAAGCAAAAGGCAATCATGGGTTTAGCTAGTACGAGCCATCACTTCCCACCACCCATCTACCTTCGCCAGAGACATCAAGAGCTGAGTGCATCCAAGTCCTGGGGATGAGCCAGGATCTGCAAGGAAAGCATTTTGTGAGATCGCGTCTGCACAGGAAAAGATTTTCTCATTTTGAAACTTATTTTGAAATTCTCAAAATTACAGTACTTTACAATATAAAATGTCTCCATTCAGTACTACATCATTTTACTCCTTCTGGGATTATAATAATTATTAAAAACACACAACTTTCTAGAAAGGACAGAAACACCACAAAAGAGACCAAAGATTAATGGGAAAGGCTGCTGCAGTATTATCAAAACCAATTTAGTGCAAAGGAGAAGAAGACTTCCAAGAACGGTCGATGAGAAGTGTTCTTTATACGCTCATTTGGAGAACAGGCATAGATTTAACCTCTGAATGAGATCAGGCTGCCAGCTTCTATACTGAAGCTTAGAACATCAACACAAAAGGACTGAAACACAATATGCATGGCCATTAAAAAATAATATTATATATAGGGATATATATAGAGAGAGGGGGAGATATTTTCCACGTATGGTATTTAGTTATAGGAAAGTGTCCCTGCAGACAGGCATATTCTGCCATCTGGCTCTTTTGGGTCATTTCACGTGATAAACATCGATTATCTGTCTGTTTGCCATAGTATAAAGTACGTGCTGACCGCACAGTCACTTCGGTTGGGATGATTGCTTTCTAGTGCCTCCACAGTTGCCGCGTTTCCTGCGCACGTGGGGACATCCGACCCTCTTTGCTTCTGCCAGCCCCGACAGGCTGCCCTCAGCCCACAGCCATGCGGCACAGCGGCTGAGGGACGTCTCAGACCGTAGTTTCATCCGCAGTCTTCTTCATGAGCTTGGCGGAGAGGAGGGAGTGGGGCAGGGGGTGAGGGCTCCGTGAGGCTGGGATCATCAAGCGGACTTTCTGGTTGGTCCTTCGCCACTCCGAGTACAGCTGGCAGTGGTAGCGGAACGAAACCTGGCGGGCAATAACGCATGGGTCTGGTTATCGAACCCCCGTCACGCGTGCCGGAGCCCGCAGAGGGCCAGTGCGACGCGGTCACCCATCTGCCCTCTGCGTGCTCTCCGCGTGTCCCTTGTCTATCCACCAGCACCTCCCGGCCAAGGGAGACAGCACGGACCCTGGGGCGCTTTGGGGCACTCCCACATTCCAAGCCTTTGACCAGGAATCAATTAATTCCTGGTGCCACCAGGCTGAGCGCGTCACAGCCAAAGGCGCCTCCTGGGCAGCACCAGGACAGAGACAGTTTGCTCCACTGGGCACCAGGCTGGCGAGATGTGGTGGGGAGGAACCACAGCTTGGCCCTTCAGCCAGCCAGGGGCTGAAGCGAGCACCTCGTCAGCGATAACGAGGGGTTCCCAACAGCAGCAGCCCCCTCCCATCCCCCAGGTCCTGCTGGATCTTCTCCGCCCTTTGCAGAAGCCTCCTCTCCTCATCAGATGGACTCGTTTGTTCCGACAACGCTGCGGCCTGGGAGACTTGCCCACCCGGAGGGAGCCAGGGAAGGATGCAAAGGGTGGTGGGGACCTGAACCTGGCCTGGGGGCAGGAGCTGGCCCTGCAGCTTCAGAGCGGGTAACTTCGGGCTGGGCTTCCCCGCTGGGCTGGGCTCCTTGCTGGGGCCTTCTGCAACCATTAACACCGCTACAGATTGTCTCACAGCTCCTGCTGACTCCTTAGCTTTGAAATTAAACTTTACTAGAATTTATTGAGGAAGGAATAAAACCAGCATTTATTTCCCTCCTATTTATTTTCCTAGAAATTGTGAGCAAGAAAATCAAATACTCATCAAAACCTACTTTTGTAGTTTGTAAAAGTACAGGAGGCATTTAGCTGGCAAGTAGGAAGGACCGGGAAGTATATCTGACAAGGAAAAATCAGAATTCCTATTACTTTGGATAGATCTCAGGCATACGCTATGAGAAATGGAGCTGTGCCCAGTGTTGAGGTAACTTAGCTTATTGATCTGTGCACTCCCCTTTTTCCTGTTCAAGAGGGACAACTGTGGGAATAAAGGTTTGTGCTGATAAACAAGAAGCAAATACATCTCCCAGTCTTCAGAGACAGTGTGTGAATGGGGAGCTAATGCTACAAACCTCAAGGAAAGCTCCTGCTTCACAGGAAGGAGATGCAACCTTGGCCAAGGCTTCTCTCACAATCCTCATGCTGATTACAGCCATCACCACCCACCCGCGGGACTGTCCTTTGTGCCACACAGCCCACGGTGGCATGGAAGAATTGCAGGTGAATACGGTAAATGTGAATAAAGAGGCTTCACTTCATGTCCTTCTCTGTTCAAGGAGATGTGAAGTACAGCAGAAGTAGAGCCCTTTTAGTCAGGACTTGTTATTCCACAAAAAAAACCCAAACCATTTTTCAGCTTCCTCCAGATTTCCAGCTCCTCCAAACCAGTCCTGGAACAGAGAAGATGGAAGCACTTCCTCTGAAGGTTTCCAATTTTAGCTTGGCTTTCTACAGAGATGAACCTTATGCAGCCACACGTCAGAGCGCGTACACGCAGCAGTGGGGACTTTCCCCAGCAGCTCCCGTGCACCGCAGCTGCCGCGGGCTGTGACACCAGCGCCGACCAGGCTCTCGCTGCCAGCACCTGAGTGGGTACGGGAGAGTTGCAAGAAATGTCTTAGCCCCAGAAAAAGCTGTTTCTCTGAGAGATCAGAGCATGAGATGGCCAGGAAATGGGCTGTTGCATTTCTACTGCCCGCAGAACTGCCAGCTTTTTGGGGTCCTGCTATTTCTCCTCCAGCAACTGCATTTCTTCCCTCCCCCAAATGGTGCTTCCCAGCAAGCAGCTGGAAAAGGGCACCAACAGGGCGTGAGCACGTGCAGGGCTTTGAATAGCAGAGCCCAAATGCATATCCACACCCAGAAACCCACCTAGCAACAGAACACAAAAGCACTGAATGGGAAACAGAGTGAAATCCCTGGCCTGGGAGCCTCCAGAGAGAGCAGGGCCAGGGGAGCCCCGAGGCTTGGGGAGCAGCAGGGCAGGAAGCCGCTCCCCAGCCCCGTTGCTGCCCGGGGCTCGGGGCCAGGAGCGCTCACAACATGCTGCACAGCAAACTCGCATTCGCTTTCCTGCTCTTCTGGGCTTGGTCCAAGCTGCAAGCTCCTGGCTGCCTAATTCCAAAAAGAGGAAAAGTGAGGCATCTGCAGGAAGCTCTTTCGCAGCACGGATCAGTTCAACACCCTGACAGTGTCGAGGGCAGGTTCCCACTAACCCCAGTGCCTCCAACGCCGGCAGCACCAGCGGTGGGGCAGGGCAGGCTGGCGTCCCAGCCTCGGCTCAGCGCTGGACTCCAAAAGCCCAGCATGAGAGAGAAGTCAGAGGTCTCCCCAGGGCCAGAGTGTTTCTTGCACACACCCTTCTGTGCTACTGACATCTTAAAAAATATTTAGAAAGAATTTGTTTAGTTGTGGGCCATAGAGACCCCCAGTCTGCACCTCCTTCGGGCATGGCCAACCTGTGCTGGGCAGCACAAAGCACGGAGGTACATGATGGCAGATTATTTAGCAGTCACTCACCAGATTTTATTTTTCTCCTAAACCACCCAAGTACCAACTTTGTGTTTCTTCCTGAAAACAGGAACAGGCACAACAGCTGGAGCACTGCCTGCCCCCAGCACCAGACCTTCCCACCCAGCCTCAGCCACGCTCGGGCACATCTGCGCCCAGGTACCACGGCCCGGGGAACACTGCTCCCGTGTCAGTCTGGAAAGCAGATGATCAGGAAGTGGCTTCTCATTCTCAGCAACAGCTTTAGCAGCTCCCATTTGAAGATAATTAAATGGATGTTCAAGAGAAAGAGCCCCAGGTTTTCTCCCAAGGGGATTCAGAAACAGCTGGCTGCACTGTCACGGTGTGAGCCAGCGCTTCCGTCTCCCTTTCGAACAGAAGCAAGGCCCTGGGCAGCAGACACTTACCAGCGTCCAAAGGACGTAGATTGTAAAAAGTGCTATAGTTAGTGCTATGAGTCCGATGGCCTCCAGTCGGCTGTTGAACTGCAAATGATCCTGGGCTCCGCGCAGACACAGCCAGCCGGAGATCGCCGCCAAAGGAGTAATGAACAGAAAACACACCATGTCGCAGAAAAGGGTCCTCTTCTCATTGCGGGGACCGGGATCCTTCAGCCACTGCAGGAAGGAAGGGAGAAAGGGCATCAGTCAGCAGCGCACAGCACGCTAGCAAAGCAGGACTGCTATGCTGGGAAGCTCTCACATGCTCTCTGTACCTGGTGCGTACACTTAAACCTTCATAAAAATAGAGCTAGAGAGCATCACGTGTATTTTTAACAACCAGCAAGGGAAAGGGAAGAGATAACTGAAGAATATGTGCGGGGGAAGGCAGTAGTAAATCCAGGAGCTGCCTGGGCTCTTCAGTGGAGCACTGAGGAGCAGGCAGCAGCTACCCGGCAGAGGAAGGTTGGTTCAGCGAAGCCTGGTTTAGTAAAGATCTGACTGGTCTTGGATTAAGCTTCAATAGAAGCATATCCAGGACTCTGCGACTGCTGTAGGCACCACAGAAAACCAAGGCTTCAGGGTCTGCGGCCAGGACAAGCCGTCAGAGCATGTCCCAACATCCAGCTGTGCCATCTGGTTCCTTTTGAAGAATCGTGGCATTTTAGGGTTTCACTCCTGATTTCAATCAAATCTGAATTTCCCAGGTCCATCTGAGAGGCTGTGCATGGCAGCTCTGCAGAAGGAGCGCTCTCCGGGGTCTGGCACTGTCCCTGGGGCTCGAGCGAGCCGTGTCAGTGCCGCTCACCGGGGAGCCCAGCACCCACTGGGGCATCAGTGGGGAATGCAAACACCCACACACCCGGTACTTCCACTGAGATGATGACAGAGAGGAAAAAAGCACATGGCTTCAGCAACTAGGAAACCAAGACTGGAGAGAAAAAAACAGAAAAGAAACTGAGTAACTAGCAGAAAGCTTTGCACCTGAGCAGACAAAGCAGGACAGCAGCCAAGGGGCCAGTGTTGGGCTGGCCCTGGCACAGGAAGGTAACACAAATCCATTTTCTTTTACAGAACAACCTGTGGCCCAATCTGCTTCTTTCTCACAGAGAAAGCCTTCGATCATTTCTAAAGAGAAAGCAGCACAACGGTCAGGTGAGGAGGGACACAGCTCGGCTGGCTGGGAGGTTCCCCACTGCTTTCTCCCAGATCTCAGCAGATCGCAAGTGACCATGAAGGGATGAGGCACAATGACATGGACACGGCTGCTGAGAACTCCACCTTCACGACTGCAAAATCCCAAAGACCTTTCCATTGCTGGTGGCCATTTACTGCCCGAAGAGACCTGCCAGGACCAGGAGAGATCTGACTCCGGTAGATTCCTTCCCGTTTTCAGGCTTGCTTTCTTGCCTCCCAGGCAGTGCGTGATATCCCAGCACTTTGCTCTGTGTTACCAAGAGGCTTTGCAAGCGCTTCTCTCTTGCGGCTCTCCAAAAGTAGCAGGATGCAGAAGCAAAGCAGCTCTGTTGCAGGCAGGTTTCCCTCAGCAGGTGACCTCTAAACGTTCACTAATTTTAGGAGTCCCAACTTGCTTCCACCGTGGGTTCATTTTAGATACTTGGACAACAGCAATTGTTCTAGTTTTCCTGGGATTATGCTATTTTCAGCCTTTCCTTTCCTTTTTTTTTTTTTTTTTAGAATAGCAAGCTGCTGTGGTTCCTACCAATACCCAGAGTTGTTACAGCACATTTTTACTGGGAGTTCTGTATGCTGGGCTGACGGATCCTTCCCTGTTTCCTGCACCAGGACAACTGGTCTCATTTAGGATTTTTTCCTAAAAAAAACCCAAACCAAACCAACCAACCAACCAAAAAAAAAAAAACCCTAAAAAATTGGAGAACATGATCGAACAGGCACAGTCAGAGCATGGAAGGGAATATCCCCAAGGCAGCCAGGGCCAGGCAGGCATGTCCTGCTGCCAGACTTGGAGCAGGATGCCCACTCTGGAACAGGCAGCGTGAAAAGGGACCCCTCTGAGAACTATGCACCCCAGCTCCTTCCCTACAGGGAAACCACAGTTTAAACAGCGTCACAGAAGAGGTGGTGGCAGGTATGCCATGGCTAGCCAGAAGGACAAGCAGAAGGTGCTGGCCCAGAGGGGGAGTGTGAAAGGGTGTACGCAAGTTAGTGCGGATTGAACTATGGAGAGAGTCCAACGGGAGGGATGTACAGCGAGGCACAAGGACGGGTGAGGACAGGATGAGAAGTGCAGACAGCTTTTGTTGAAATGGAAAAGAGAAGGGGGAGACTGGGGTGGTCAGAGCCACGGCAGCAGCAGGCTCTGCAGACGCTGCGATGGGACATCGAACGGAGGAGAGGACGTTGAGGCAACAGACAAGAACCTGGCCAGGAATTCCAGCTGGGAGGACTGATAAGCAAGATAGTCGAGACATGTCACCTGAAGCACCTGAGAAACCCAAACAGAGCAAGAACAAGTGAAGCTAGAGAGCAAGCTAAGCAGCTGAGGAGTGCAAACAGATCCGAGGACTGAGTAATGCTCCTGCAAGAACAGAAGACAAGCTAGAAGCATTTTTAAAGCCATTCTGAACATGACTTGATGGCCACACAGCCGGAAGGAAACTTCAGAGCAGCCACAACTGTAGTTTGGACAGGAGGAGCTGGGAGAAGGGAGGCAGACCTGCAAGTCACCCCTTGTGTGGCTCTGCAGAGATTAGTGGTGATGAGCTGTGTGGGGAAGATAAGGACCACACACGCAGTCCTGAGCAACCCCGAGAGGAAGCGAGGGTGGACAGCAACTCATCTGCGCAGGAAAGCTGCTCCCACAAACAGCGCATTGGCAGACCCATCATTTGAACCCCTGGCTCCATGCCTGGCTTTCCCCATTCCAGCCAGCACGTGGCTGCCCCGGCTACGCAGCACTCAGGCGAATGCTGAATTACCCTGACTGGTCCAACGTCCCTCTAGCAGCAGCCCCAGAGCACCCCGTTCCCTCTAAGAGGACGTCTTGGGTCACTTTTGACCCTCATACAGTAAGAAGCTCAGGGACTGAAGGCAGATAGGTATTTTACTGCATCTTATTGTATTTGCATTCATTGTGACCTTTGAAACTCCTTCTTCCTCCCTAAAATGGGAGCCAAACATGTAAAATTAATTGCCTTTTGAAGCAGTTGATTTGCTTTGCCAATATGCGCTGACACAGTAAAAAAAGAATACAATAAGCCACCCTAAGGGCGCAGGGTTTCTGGCACAGCAGCTCATTAGTGCATACGGGACTTAAACTAAACCTTGCAAACAATCCAAAAAGTGGTCAGTCAGATTAAACAATTTTTGTAGGAGAAAACTATCAAGTAAACATGGAAAAGCAACAAAAGCATAACTTGGTCTTCTTCCAGGCCAAGTCCAAAAACAATTGCTTCCACGCTGCAATCACACGCGAGACTAAAGAGGAAGAGGCAGAGCTGGCTGCTGGCTGCTCACTTGGGCTACAGGCTGGGTCCCAGACTGCCCTGCTGAAAACAGCCTCTCTCTGCTTGTGCGACAAGTCAGTCTGGGTAGAACTATATTTCTTTGTCCTCCAGCACGATCCTGAGGCTTTCCCAGATGTTCTTCCTACTGCCATCAGCAGGGTTGGGGAAGGAAGCTCATTTCTTGGCCCCACAGCAGGGCGGTGGCATGCTGAGTATCTGACCTTTGGGTGCCGCAGTGCCCATGGTGAGCCCCAGGTGACGGAAGGCAGGAGGAGGGTACACAGAAAAAGGCACCAGGATGTCATCAGCTGCTCTGGAAGCCAAGGGCAGAGCTCAAAGTACAACAGAGCAGTCTCCCAGGCAGTCCATCCCAGCACCTGCTACTCCACAGCTCAGAGCTGGGCTGTGTTCTGCCACCGGGGACCAAGCGGAATGGACTGATCAGGGACTGTCCCAGCAGTGCTCAGCACCTTGCAGTCTTTCTGGGGGTTTATAAACCGGTGTGTTAGAATAAGCTTTCATTGATTTTTACAGCTCACTCACCTTGTGTTGCAAAAGGTACACAGCTGTGAGCTATTAGCTCCTGTTCCACAAAACACATTGCACGCAGCATTCCTGTGCCAGCTGATGGCAGTCCCGTGCCAAGCAGGACCAGCGCAGGGTGGTACCAGCACCAGTGGGACCAGCAGTCTCCAGCCAGCATGTGCTCGGGTCTCTCGCAGCTGGACCAGCCGCTCTGGTGAGGGCCGTTCAGGACCAGCGTGACCTGTCCATCTCACCAGCCGACCCTGTCACAAAGGTCCCCACGTGCTTCACAGCTCCAGTGTGACGCAAGCTAGAGCAACAACAGGAGTACACAGCTGTATAAAGCCAGCGGTGTTACAAAACATCCCGTGTCCTTTCTGTTCACCAAAGAGTTAGCCTGTGGCTGCTCAGGCACCTGTTGATTTTCCTTTTGCTGCTGACCTGGTGCCTGGCTACGTAAGCCAGAAAGAAAAACATGACCTTGATTCACAGCAGCACGATTCGCCCTGTCCCTGCCCTGAGAAATGTGTTGAATCAAAAAAATGTAGCTACAGAAGAGGTATGGTCACATCCTTTCTCTGGGCAGCCACTGAAACCTCCCTGCAGGCTACAGAGCTTCATGGGTAGCCCCAGCAGGATGGTCCTGTTCCCTTTACCAAGGTGGGGAGGGACGTTTTCATAGACTCCCAGACTGGTTTGGGTGGGAA